GCTAAGGAGCGAATGCTCCGCGATCACGCCACTGGGGGTGAGGGGCCCGGGCGTGGATAGGAGCCGGAGCAACGGCACAAGAGGGATGCGAAGAAGTCGTGGTCGTAGTCCAGAAGAGTAGGTCGCAGCCGGGGTAATCCGTCCGACACGGAGACACGGGGACAAGACACACCAAGGCAGGGGAACAGGAGACGCCGGGCTCAGCAAGGCAGGTGATTCATGGTCGGGAGCGGGTCTGGGGAATGAAGGAAAAAAGGAGAGAATCGCACACGGAGGAGACAGGTAAGGTCGGGGACATGGGGCAGACGGAAGACAGGTAAGTTGCTTAGTACGGCGTCTCGGGCACAGCGGACGCGGAAATCCAGCTCCGCTCATCTGGACCTTCCCCTTCCCAGTCGACGAGGTACTGCAACGTCCCTTGTCGCCGCCGTGAATCCAAGAGGGTCAGAACCCTGGCTGATGGGTTCCCGTCTTCCACCTCTGGCAGCACGTCTCTGGCCACGTCGGAGGCAGGGCACAAGGCGCTAAACTTAACGGGTTTAAGGAGAGACACATGAAAGGTGGGGCATATGCGGTATACGCGAGGCAGTTGTAGCTTCACTGTTACCGGACCAACGCGTTTCAGGATCCGGAAGGGTCCGATGTATCGAGCGGTGAGCTTCCGACACCCCGGTATTCGAAGATTCTTGGTGGACAGCCACACTTGCTGTCCTACTCGGTAAGGAAAGCTGGGTCGGCGGTGACGGTCTGCTTGCACTCGGTTCGGATTGGGTTCGGAGGGCGGTTTGGATCTGACGCCAGGCACGTCTGCAGTTGCGGTACCAGGCGTCCACTCGAGGCACAGCTCCTGAAGTGGAATCCCAAGGGAACAAGGGGGGCTGGAATCCCAAATTACTGGAGGGGCCCGATTCTCATTGGTCCGTTTAATAGTTTCCTCTAACCCCCAGGTAATTGCCGAGACGAAGCAGGATGGGTTCAGCACCGGGTGGTCCGTCTTCTCTCGTTCCGGAGGGTCATATTGCCGTGACAAGGCGTCAGCTTTCACATTCCTTTCCCCAGGGAGATAACTCACCTGAAAATCGAAACGAGCGAACCACTGCGCCCAACGAGCCTGACGGGAGGTAAGTCGATTGGCTGATTGGAGATACTCCAAATTGCGGTGATCGGTTAATACAAGGAAGGGGTGCCGGGCTCCCTCAAGCCAGTGGTGCCACTCTTCCAGGGCCAATTTGATGGCGAGGAGTTCCCTGTCGCCTACATCGTAGTTGCGTTCGGCAGGTGTCAACTTACGTGAGAAATACGCGCAAGGATGCCGTCTGCTTGTTTCCGAATCCCTTTGTATCAACACAGCCCCCACTCCCGCATCTGAAGCGTCCACTTCTACCTCAAACGGGAGTTCCGGTTGTGGGTGTTTTAACACAGGCGCTGTGCAGAATGCCTGTTTTAACCGAGAGAAGGCGGCTTCGGCGTCAGAATTCCAGAGGAGCTTGGCAGGTTTTCCCCTAGTAAGAGAGGTGGGAGGAGCCGCCACCCTACTGAAATTACGGATAAATCGCCGATAGAAATTCGCAAACCCCAGGAAACGTTGTAGGTCTTTAAGGGATTTAGGTTTCGGCCATTCCTCAATAGCCGCGATCTTCTGCGCCTCCATCGCCACCTCCCCGGGTTTAATGACATACCCGAGGAACCTCACTGAGTATTGATGGAATTCGCATTTCTCGCCTTTAACATATAGTTGATGCTCTCATAGTCGCTGCAATACCTGTCGAACGTGTTGTACATGGTCTTGTTTGGACGGGGAGTAAATTAGGATGTCATCAATATAGACTATCACGAACCGATACAACATATCCCGAAAAACCTGGTTCATGAAAGACTGGAATATGGACGGGCTATTGGCCAAACCATAAGGCATCACGCGGTACTCGAACTGTCCCCTACTGGTGATGAAGGACGTTTTCCATTCGTCCCCCGCTTTTATCCTCACCAGATTATAAGCGCTGCGTAGATCTAATTTCGTAAAGATCACCGCCTCTCGAAGATGTTCCAAGGCAGATGGGATCAGAGGGAGAGGTTCTCTCCGTTTGATGGTGACAGCGTTCAGGGCGCGGTAATCCACCACTGGTCGCAAACCACCGTCCTTCTTCTTTATAAAGAAGAAACCAGCGGTCACCGGTGAGGTGGAGGGCTGGATGATTCCTTGTGCCAATCCATCTTGGATGTAGGTCTCCAGTGCTTCCTCCTCTTGCAGGGACACTGGATACAACCTGCCATGGGGAAGGGTTGCTCCGTCCAACAGGTTAATAGAGCAATCACAGTCATGGTGCGGGGGAAGACCGAAAGCTTTCTCCTTGCTAAACACGTCGCGGAACCCTTGATATACCTCAGGAATAGAATCTAGGTTCTCCGGTTCTGGACTTTCGATCCCCGTTGCTTTGCAGGGGAGAGACAGACACTCGTGCCTATACCGTGCGGACCACGCGATAATTTCCCTGGTCCGCCAGTTCAGATGCGGGTTATGTTTTCGGAGCCAGGGCAACCCGAGTATGAGCGAATCCCTAGTTCTATGTAAGACATAAACTTCGAGGTCCTCCTTATGAAGGACTCCTATCTGTAACTCGAATGGGCGAGTCCGGTGATGGATTGTTCCCTCCCTCATCCGCTCGCCGGTGATGCCGTGCACAGAAATGGGAGAAGCGAGTTCCTGAAGTTTTACACCCAGCTGGTTCGCTAACCCCGCGTCGATGAAGTTACCAGCCGCCCCGCCATCGATCAAAGCTCTCACTCGGAGACGTCGGTTTCCCAGCTCTAAAACTACTGGCACCGTGAATTGAGAAAGTAATGCAGGTGACAGGGAAGATACACCTACCGGGACAGAGGTGTCCTCTCGGAGGGGCCGGATAGGACAGGCAGCGATGGAGTGGCCGGTCTCTCCACAGTAGAGGCAGAGTCCTCCTTGGAGGCGTCTGCGTCGTTCCATGGGCATCAAAGGGGACCGGCCGACCTGCATAGGCTCCAGGGCTTCGATTGCCAGGTGAGGGGTTCCGCGAGGGGTCTCAACAGGATGAGCCGTAGGGGTTCGTCGACGACGCCTATCTCTCATGGTGCTGTCGAGCCGAACAGCCTGCCTGACTAAATCATCGAAAGACGGTGCCTCCCCCCTGTGTGAGAGCTCGTCCTGCAGGTCCTGGTTGAGAGCCCGTAAAAATATTGCCTGTAGGCAGTCGTCGGGCCACCGGAGATTTGCGGCGATGGTCCGAAACTCCAAGGAGAAGTCAGCTGCCGTACGATTACCTTGGCGACACTCCAAAAGCCTAAAGCCCGGTCTTCGCCCCACCGCAGGGTGGTCGAAAATCTCCATAAGAGCTTGGTGAAACTCTTGCCCCGAGTCTAGGAGAGAGCTGTTATCAGCCCTTAGGGCAGTAGCCCACTCTTGTGCGCGCCCAGTCAGGAGGGAAATTGTAAAGCGCACCTCTGCCCCAGGGGTGCGGAACATGTCTGGGTGTTCCTCCACGTATATCCCACACTGCATCAAAAACCCCCTGCATCTATCCGGGTTTCCATCATACCGTTCTGGCAGGGCTACCGGTACCGGTGCGGTATGACGTGGGGGAGAGTCGGGCAGGGGTACTTGCACAGCACCAGAGGCAACGAGTTGTTCTAGGGCGGACAGGCGACCCTCCATGGTCCCCGCTGGATCCATCGGAAGGCGAAGTATTCTGTCACTGGCGGGAGGCAAGGAGGACAGAGACCCAGTATTGCGGGGATCAATAAGCTTTACTGAGAGGTCCACCCAGGCCAGACAGGACAGAATGAGCCGGGGCTCGCTAAGGAGCGAATGCTCCGCGATCACGCCACTGGTGGTGAGGGGCCCGGGCGTGGATAGGAGCCGGAGCAACGGCACAAGAGGGATGCGAAGAAGTCATGGTCGTAGTCCAGAAGAGTAGGTCGCAGCCGGGGTAATCCGTCCGACACGGAGACACGGGAACAAGACACACCAAGGCAGGGGAACAGGAGACGCCGGGCTCGACAAGGCAGGTGATTCATGGTCGGGAGCGGGTCTGGGGAATGAAGGGAAAAAGGAGAGAATCGCACACGGAGGAGACAGGTAAGGCCGGGGACATGGGGCAGATGGAAGACAGGTAAGTTGCTTAGTACGGCGTCTCGACATCAGCTCAATATTTTGCAATGAAGCAGCGGAGTGTGCCGTTTAAGAAGGTGGTTGATTGCTTGTCGAGGGATGGTTCGTGCGCAGTCCCGCCCCAGTAGGCGTGACAAACACAATGAAATACCACTTTTCCACTCAGGTATAAATCATTTGTGAAAATTTTAAAAATAAAATTAAACCCCTTTTTGTCTTTTCATTTCCCACTTCATTGTCATCTTCAAGTTCACAACATGTAAATATATGTTATTTTTAACAGACCTGTGGGCGGAGCTATGAATCAGTGATCTCAGGCACTGCTGTGCTTTCTCCATGTGGTTCCGGATTCTGTTGTCGTTGTATTCCTTGCACGTGGTTGCTCGTGTTGCCTGAACTAATGGCAAAGAGTCGCGACTTAAGATAGAAGCAATCTCATACCGTAATGTTATGTCTATCAGTGCACCACACATTTTAAGCATGGATGATTTTGATTGTTTATCAGCAAAGCGTGTATAGCTTGACTGCAGTAAATATTATTTCTACTACTGGAATCACTTAATACTCTGCCTTTTTGTTAGGGGAAGTCCAGTCTTCCTTAGTTCCTCAATCGTGTTGAATCTTAGTTGGTAACATTTTGCAATTCTGGGGATTTCTTACAATGTCATGTCAATGTTACTTCTTTAAGTAATTTTCATCATGCTGATTTCACTTCCTCTTTTCCAGATGTATTGTAACTTGTAATGCTGTAATGTCATCATTCTATCAAATTGTGGGTTTCATTTGTATACTGTACATGTATATGTAGCATAGTATATCAGTGGACATATTTACTCAGTCTTGTCTCTTTCTGTTATAGGTGTATACATGCCTGGTAGGCCTTGGCTGGTCCTCAGCAAATCATATGAACTATTTTAAAGAATTGGTAATAATTTCTTTTATGTTTTTGAAATATTGCCAGTATATTTTCACTTATCTAACAGCACAGTCGTACTGTTCATCTACTTTTGCTGCTCCTCAGATTTATATTTAGCATTTTAATTTTGAATTCAAATATCAGTATAATGAAAAGCAGCTACACAATCTACTTTGCTTGTGTCTGTGTGTGTGCACACTAATTAATAGGGTCGAAACTTTGATATGATGTGTGTGCATGTGTGTGTGCATGTGTGTGCATGAGGACGTATTTGTCATTCTACGAAACGGGTGCCATTTCGGTCCACAACATTTGAGGAGATTCCTAAGGCACAAAAGATGTTGCAAAGTGTGTTTCCTAAGCTTTAAGCTATTAATCAAAAAGTTCTTGTTAAGACGTAATATGGCAAAATACTATTTATAAAGAATAAGATACTATTTAAAATAATTTTTCTTTAACACATGGCCATTTTCACATGTCCATATTGAACAACATGGTATTTGCATCTAAAATCACCAAAAAATGTTTTTTTTTTTAATGAAAACTTTATTATTCACATTATGTGTGTCCCCATTTATGTAAGATTTATTCAAAATGTCTAATTTTTTTGTAAAAAAATACAATTTGTGTGCATTCATGAGTTTGATTTGCCGTCCTGTCACACTAAATTCTTTTGTCTATAAATAATGTACTGGTGCTTTAAACAAAACAAATGACAAAAAGAAAATACATCATTTCAGCCTTTGGAGCAGCCAAGAACAAAAGCAGGCAAGTTCTATCATTTTATTACATTGTTTGTTTGTTGCTTTTTCATGTTAGATGGGGTCAGTTAAGCTGAACCAAACCCCCTGACATGTAAAAAAGAGAGGTAAAATGGGTTTTTATAAAAAAAAATACGCTTTTCATGCAAAAACAATGATATTTCCAATTGAATGCATGTGTGTTACGTCAGGGACCTGACCACATGGAGAACTGCAGCCATTTTAGGATGATATTTACCACCCTGTTACATAACACCCCATCACATGTTTCATTGTGACGGGGTGGTTCTGCTTCCTGTTTGAATGTCAAAATTAAAGTCTCACTCACTCACTTTCTCTACCACTCACTCCTTCACACTCATTTGCTGATACGGTGTTTAAAGAATAATGTTACCAGGGCTAGACATAAGGATTTAGGAGGGCACAGCCACTTTGGCCTTGGCTATTCATATTTTTTCTAGGGCACAAGGCCATTAAGCCTGGGCACAAGGCCAAAATCTGGAGTAAAAATTTTTTTTTCATTTATTTAAATTTCATAGGACACCTCGGGCCTTGTGGAGGAATTTTATTTCCATAAAGGATGGATTTTTTTTATTTTCAAAAAAGCAGAAACTTTCCAAAAAGGCATTGGGCCAATACTGAGTCACTAATTACCAATTACTGTAATTACCAAGTTTAGACAACCTACGCAATACGACCTTTGATTTGAGACAGAATATATATATATATACACATACACATACATGACAATTGACTTGACGTTCGTTTTTTGCACACTGCAAGCTACCAGTCCTATATCCTCCCAGCAGAGCTTGGTACTTCTCTGAGTCAAATCTGCTCTGCCTCGGCAAATGTTTTTTTACAACACCATCTGACACTTACCTGAACAAAGTAGATAATTTGCAACATTTTGCGGCAGTAGCCGCGAGTTCAGCTTGCTTTCTTTTATGTTCTCGATCTTTGCGAGGCATGGTGACAGCATAAGCAGCAGACGACAACTACACGATGATTACCGAAGAGGACACCTATCTGTTATTCGGAAACCGTCGGATGGCTTTTCCAATCAAAAACGTAACCCCGATGATGCACTATTGTCATTGCTGTGGCTCCATAGTAGGCTGGACGATACATACCGTACCAGCCAATCATGCGACGAACACATGATCGTATTAGTCCAGAATTCATTGCGGTTCATTCAGTAGTTGGGAATTACGAGATGTGCGGGTCGACCTCGTTTCTCGTATCGAAGGTTGGGTTCGGGTTCAGTACAGATGCATCTGCGACGCGGTGCCGTGGCTTATGTCTAGCCCTGTGTTACATTTCGTAACATTTGCAGATAGATCTGTCTCCATCATGGCTCCATTAAGTGCTGCTGAAAGACAACAGCTATGTTGTGCACAATAGGCTGCTGGTCCTGAGAAGAGGATAAAATAATTAGAGAGTGAGCATCAACTATGGAGACGGGATGTAGAGCAAGGGAAAAAGATTAGTGTTCTAACTGAGTGAGAGAATTGTCAGCTGCGTAAAAAGTGGAGCAAAACAAGAAAAGGAAAAAAATTACAGGTTAAGGAGCCCAGTCAGTACACCCCTCCTCAAGGTTCAGATTCTGTCCAACAGTCAAAGCTGCAGGTGGGATTTTCAAGGTCAGAGTAGAATGCAGTTAGGACTGATATACAGCTCTGGAAAAAATTAAGATACTACAGCATGGTTTTGTCTCACTCATTTCTCAATTTCTGAGTGTGCGTCTGTTAATAATATATATTTTCTGCAAACTGCAGCCTGGTTATTTGTTTCTCATTAATGTCCTGCTTCTAGGAGCCTGATACAAACTGTTCTAGTGGTGCACTTAATGTATCCCATCCCTTTTGAAGATCAGTTTGGAACATCTACACAAGATGGTGGTACGTGTAGATGCGACGGCTCCAAGCTTTTCCTGTCAATGCTCCATTTGTTTTGTTTTTTTTTATATATGTTCTGTTGCTTATCTCAGCCACAGTTTGCGAGACCTCTTGAGTATCAGATTATAGAGCAAACAGCCTGTTACAACAGTTTCTCTGCGTCAACAATATATCAATGGATATAGAGCGGATGCCGAACTCTCTGTGGATTTTTGCCCTGGTGAACAGAAGCCGGAGGCGGTGCAGGGACAGAAAGCAGAAGCGGGGCTGGCAGATGGGCATGCGGGAGAGGCTACGGAGGAATGCATACAAGCTACCACTCCCCAGCCTATTCCTTACAATTGCAAGATCGATCTCAGATAAAATGGAGTAACTGAGGCTACAGCTATTAACAACAAACTCGCCAGGGATTGCTGTGTTCTGCTGATCACAGAGCCCTGGCTGCATCCATCCATACCCAACACTGCTATTGAGCTAGCAGGCTGCACCATCCACCGCCAAGACAGAAACGGAGACTCTGGGAAAAGCAGAGGTTTATGCATCTATGTTAACAACAGCTGGAGTACTAATACCAAGATTATAAATAGTCACTGCTTCCCAGATTTGGAGTATGACTGTTGCAGGCCCTTGTACCTAGGAGTCAGCTCTCAGCTACCTGCACAATGCTATATGCAGCTATATCCAGATTCTATCAGCTACTTGGGGAAAAAACCTACTTGATAAAGTCTATTCGAACATCAAGCAGGGCTGCAGGGTTATACCATCACCCCACCTGGGCCAGTCAGACCATATATCCCTGTTCTTGTTACCGGTATACACCCCCCTCAGGAAAAAAGCTCCTCCCACAATAAAGACCATCAGAACATGGTCTGAAGGTGCCTCCTATCAGCTGCAAGAATGGGCTAGAGCATTTTTGAAACTTAGGACCTGGAGCTGTACATGGCTGCTATACTGTCCTACATCAAACACTGCACAGACACTGTCACCATTGACAAAGCCCTGGATGACAAGAGAGGTCAGGATCCTGTTGAAGGACAGAGAGACCACCTTCAGGTCTGGTAATGTGGGACAGTGTGGCCAGGGCTAACCTGAAAAGAGGTATCAGACAGGCTAAGACTGCCTATAAAAAGAAAATTGAAGACCACATCTGGAGTAATAACACGAGGCAGATGTGGCAGGGGGTCCAACATATTACTAACTACAAACCCAGAGACATAGCTGAGGTTGGGGATGCTTCACTGGCGGAGGAGCTGAACTGCTTCTTTGCTCACCCTCCATATAACCATCTGGAGCAAAAGGGGAGCTATGCCAGACTTCTCTTCATTGACAACAGCTCGGCCGTCAACAAAATCGTGCCAAACAGGCTGGTAACCAAATTATACAACCTCAGTTTCCCACACTTCACCTGCCTCTGGATTAAAAACTTTCAAATTGACCATTCACGGACAGTCAAAGTAGGCTCTCAGCTCTCCTCAGCACTCAGCCTGGGATTCCCACAGGGATGTGTGTTGAGCCCCCTACTGGACACTTTCTATACCCATGACTGCACCTCCACCCACCCATGTAATGCCATCATTAAATTTGCGGACGACACGACCGTGGTTGAGCTCATCTTGGGGGGAGATGAGACTGCATATAGGGATGAAGTAGCAAAACTGTCAAGAGCAACCTGACCCTCAACACCACCAAAACCAAAGAAATCATCGTGGACATCAGGAGAGACAGATTTGTCCCTCAGCTCATACACATCAACGGAGACTGTGTGGAGCCTTCAGCCTTCAGGTTCCTGGGCCTGCATCTGGACCTGGAAAACCAACAGCACTGCTCAGATAAAGAAGGCACAGCAACGACTTCACGTCCTGAAGATCCTCAAAAAGAACAACTTAGCTGAGAAGTTGCTGGTGTCCTTCTACAGGTGCTCCATAGAAAGTGCATTGATTTACTGCATTCCCGTGTGGTGTGCCAGTTGCACTGCAGGAGAAAAAAACTGCGCCGCAGAGGGTTATTAACTCATCAAATCATAAAATCATCAGCCGTGCCCTCCTGTCCCTAGAGGAGCTTTACAGCCTCTGCTTTTACAGAAAAGCCAGCAGCATCCTGAAGGACACATCATATCCAGCACACCACCTACTGTATTTGAACTGCTGCCCTTAGGCAGGTGGTACAGAGTTAACAGCTTATACAAACAAACTGAAAAACAGTACATATTCCAGGGCCATCACTATTATAAACAACAAATTGAAATGAATGATCAGCCAGTCTTTCACTGTGCAATATTGTGGCCTCACTGTATGTCTGTCTTTACATATACAATACTTCATCTCCATGTGCAATATGGACTACAGTGCAA